CTGAATATTAAAACGTGAATCAAATTCAGATGTATGAACATCTAATTCGCTATGTCTGTTCTCTACATTTTGAATCTCTTAATATCAAAATGTGAATCAAGTTCAGATTATGAACATCTCTGATTGGTATATTTGTTTTGGTATTTAGCGCCACTACAAAATTGCAGTTTGGTCTTTACCAGACAGTCCAACGTGTTGGTGATGTTATGAATAGAGATGACTGAGTAAAGGACATTGGTTTCATCGTCCCACATTGCGGGAGACGATTATCTGCAAAACAACGAAGTCGCAGAGTCTGATGACCCGATCCATAAAGTCGCCTTTGAATAAACCACAACAGTTTGTATGTATTTTGTACGCAATAAGACTCCATTTAAGAAATAGATAGTGATAATGGGGCAGTATGCTGGAAGTGAATCTTCTGTACACAGCATATCCTATTGAGTTGATATATGCTATTAATGTGTAATATGCAACACTTTCTGTATTGATATTCTAATGTAATTTATAGACTATATAAATGCGTGTGTTTGTGAATATATGCACATCATTGGTGTTTGAATAAGGCTTCATTTTACCACGCCATACATGGTTCCATTAACGAACAAACCAATATTTCTCCCGCCAATCAATTTAGCTCACATGTTACACACGTATGTGGGATTTTGGATTAGAATAGGTTCCTACAAATTATACTGGTTGTAAGATGGGACTAAATGGATCGGGTTGTTAGGCTCATTGATTTGGATGATTTATATGAATAAAGTCCCTTTCAATTTTCCTTTTTATGAGAGAATTAGCATATCAAATCGAAAATAATTGCATGGAATACAGCTAGATCCCGAAAATAAGCCTGAATCTATTGTGTGGATACAAAAACGGGGGCCAGGAACATTTACATGTATATGCATGTAAAACGTTCTTGGGAGTAACATCTAGCACAGAAAATGCAAGGGTCTATAGTGAGTGCGGAAGGTTTTCCATGTAGTATCTATCATAATTTAAAGCTTATTAAACACTGATTCAAGTTATTAAATATACCATCTTCAAGAAACCCTAGTATTTTTTTTAAGTATGATGCTAGACAGCCATGGGAGACTAAATTCGGCATCAAAACTTAAAAACATGTTATACAAATGTGGATATGGTTATATATGGTTACAACTACCATTAGACACGACACATTTCTTGAGCCGTCTGACACAGACCTTATCCAAAAATGGCACGGTTCCTTGTCCAGTTCTATAAAAGCAAATATATACACTACATTAAAGACTACTGTTATACCAGAACCTTATCTGTTAAGTGCAAATTTGCATAAGTTTAGAACAGCTCTTTCTCGATTTCATTGTAGCTCACATGATCTATTTATTGAAACAGGCACATATGTAGGTTATGCAAGAGAAAAAAGACTTTGTAAGATGTGTAAAACCGATTGCATTGAAGTTGAATATCACTTTTTATGTGTATATCAAGTGCATAATGATTTAAGAACAAATTATCTGAATAACTATTTCTACCACAACCCAAATGGTAACTCATTTTGTAATATAATGACATGTGATTGTACAGAAACTGAGAAATATATCTATGTTTCATATATCATGCCTTTGTCCTCATCAGTACCATGAATAAAGATTGACTGAGAATATACAGTCATGCTTATCCACTGAAACGAAATCCATTAGGCGCAAAAGGGCAAAATAGCGGTGAACGGATCGCTGAAAATAAGTGTTGACACCAGGTGTTCGTGAAACCTATAGGCATGTCCTACCCTACCGCTGGCATCTGCAACTCTCAAAATTTGCATGAAAACGTGCCCGTTTGTGGCCTACCGCTGCACAGCAGTAATCCTGCCATGAGACGGCTAGCTGTACATAAAGAGGACCAAGGGCAGAGATTCTGCTGTTTATAAGACACAAACAAAAATAAGACACTATGTTCGTTGTGCAACACAGTCGTGGGCAGTTTAAATGTCTCGACCTAAAATATGTCTTTTGTATTTGATTCAGCATAATTGACATATGCTACTGAACTTATGATAAAACTCGTTGACTTCATTCAAGCAACAGAAACATGGACTTTGTTCATGTAAATATAGAACTTAAATGCCAGAGAATAAACAACGCATTTTTAGTAATAGAGTTATCAGAGGAGACTAAAAGAGCTCAGAATGTTTACTTTTAACTCGTTGATAATTGATTCTAACTCGCATCAACAAGTTGATGACACTGAAATGACTTACCGAGGGCAGGGTGGCACAAGGGATGGGGTCAATCGTGGGCTGACGGATGGTGTGCTGCCATAACACTAACCCAAAAATGTTTCAACGACTCATTCATGGGGCTTTCGTAAGTGGTACAGTTTTGTCTGAGAAGGTCCAGTGTCTGATAACGGTGTCACAGCCTCGTAATGGTGCTTGGCGCTACGTGGAAAAACCTTGCAACAGCTGAAGATAATTCTACTGTTTGCAGTTAGCCGATGGCGCTGTTGCGTTGGGCATCCATCGCAGTTGTGGCCATACTCTCTGACACCATTGACGTCGCAGCCGACGATGCAGGTCTTTCAAAATGACACTTCGAACTAGTCGTCTAGGGCGAATAGCTTCAGCGCGTAAATGGCTCCTCACTGTTTGGGCTGATGGTGGTTCTTTCACGCAAGTGACGTGGCAGTATGAATCCGTCTTGTGCTGTGCTCTAGTAGTGATTTGAAACTTCCCTCACACAAGAATAAGACGTCATCGACTGAGAATCGTTGAATTCCTATTTTTAAATCAATTTATGACACTTAACTTCATTATTGAATTTGAAACCAAATTCGAAATTCAATACATGCCGTCTTTGTCTGATATAGTGGAGTCTGTTTCTGGTTTGGCCAAACGCTTCAACTATACTCTCTTGTCGATGCTGTGGGCTTTTACTGTTTCTAGACCCACCCATCAGCAAAAGTTGCTGGAGTCGTTTAATTTCTTTCAATGACACAGAGTATAGTCTTGTTCTTAAGCATTACTTTGGTACATGAGAATTGGTACGGTATACAATTCAGGTGGTCCCAGGTGGAAACAAGGTATTGCCCACCATACAGCACATCAGATAACTCATATTCACGACAAGCGGGTCAACATGTGATAGGAAATGTGTGTACGGAATCCCCCAGCAAAGACCAAATTTCGAAAATAATTGCTGTTTTGCTATTTAGACGAAGTATATTGCTGATACGGAGGTATTATAAATATTTGTATTTTGCATTTTGGATCAGTTTTTGAAATTATATGCTGGGGAAAACCGCGAGGCTTGTGCCAGAGAAACTAACGATTTGGCAACTGTTTGTACGAAGCCTATACATCAAGTTCGGTTGGTATTATGTATAACGACTATCGCGCCTGCAGTGATGATTGAAAAACTAGCAGTCACATATGTCTTATTACAGTCGGTGATGATATGCTAGGTGCGAAACAGATCCCTTTCTCACTGTGACACTCTGACAATGTCATCGAGTTACGAGGATGTATAAAATATATCGGAAGGCTGGTCAAGATGAGCGCACACAGTATGTTGTTTGTTTGTTTGTTTGTTTAACGCCGCACTCAGCAATATTCAAGCTTTATGACGGCGGTCTGTAAAATAATCGAGTCTGAACCAGACAATCCAGTGGTTCATATCATGAGCATCGATCAACGCAATTGGGATCGATGACATGCTTCAACCCGATCCCGTTAGTCGCCTTTTACGGCAAGCATGGGTTGCTGAAGACCTATTCTACCCCGGATCTTCACGGGTCCACACAGTATGTACTGAAAAGTGTATTGACAATATCAAGTGACGATAAATCCTGTACTCGGCAATTATTTGTGCTAAGCTGTGTGTTTGGTATAAAGTACAAGGGGTCCAGGACTGCCCCACTTGCAACCTAAGAATGATTGTCGTCAGAGGCTACTATATGTATCGGGTGGTCAGACTCGGTGACGTCATCACTTGCATATGATTGTATTCAAACTGTATGAATCGATGTTTATGTATATGGTCCTGATTTGATTATTTACTGACCTCGGTCCTATAGCTGGAACATTGTTTGGTGCAGCATAAAACAACAAACAATCAAAACCAGTTATATGCATGTATAAATATGTGATTAGCCGAAAGTTTTTGTTTTTTTTATGTAATACTGTACTTCAGATTTTCCCAAGTCTTGTGACGATATTACATTTATAGTACTTGATGCGCCAAATGAAAAGTTATAATTTATAAATGACCTGTATATACCCTGCTCATCGGGTTTTCTGTTTAAATGTATTGCTCCATTACAACAGTGTATCTCAAACACAATATTTCACATCGTTTATTTAGTATATTCAGGGGTTGAGATTGCTACCAGTCTTGACTTGTAAAGTAAATACTTTGACATATGTTGTTGTTTTTCTGGAGGTGATTTTCTCATCGGTAAAATTATGGTCTAACGTCGTTGAGATACTAATTCGGCAATCAGAATGCAGGACTAAAACAGATTGCAGAATGTTACATTTGGTCATCTATTACACAGCTGTACAAAATAAGAAATCGAATGCGTATTTGCCCCACCGGTTGTACCCATCACAAACACATGCAACGACATGTCAATTGTTCACATGAAAAGAATTAATATGGTCAAAAAAAGGAACTGCTTCAGATATCACCCATGTGGTTTCTCTTGTATATATAGTGTGTATGGGTAAATCAGTCAAATCCAAAAGTCCTCTTCATTGGGATTCTAAGGGTATTCATAACCAGAAATAATAATAATTATGACGCTAGTGCTATCAGAAATTGATACCAACCAACTACATATCTTTGTTCCGTCACAATAACCATAATATTGATTACGTGCCATATTATTTCCTTTCTAGCACATTTACTATAGATCATGAATTACGTCTAAGGGTTTATTTCCATTTACAAATACTTCCTGTAGAGTATAAAATGATGACGGCTTTACCATCAGTCATTCAGAAGCTGTGTGGTAACGAAGAAGAGCGAACGATGATGAGAACACTGAAGTGTTGTGGTTGGGTTGAAAGATGTGCACGTGGGACAACATTTGGAAAACAGATCAGACATCACTCTATATCATACGACGTGAGTTATTCTAGATCTAATACGCCGTTCTCGCATGTCTCGATTATATCTCAACGTTTTCATGTACAGTCTCGCCTACAAACACACAACACCATGTCGCGGAAGCAAGGCCAGATTATATCCTGTTGATAGAAGGTTGTCGCAGCATAGCGTGTTTCGATAATAGCTGCAAAAAGCCTTCTGTTTTATCTCTGTCCATTGTTCCTTGTAGGACGTTTGACTTGAAAAAGGTAGTTTGATTCCAAAACTTTAATTAACATGTGAATTTATATTTAATATTGTAGTTTAAGATCATGAAATGCACGTTGGTAGAGGAAATGTATTTATGTGTTGTTTAACGCCGCACTCAGCAATATCCCAGCGGCGATATATATGAATATATATGACGGCGGCCTGTAAACAATCGAGTCTGGACCAGACCATGAAATAATTCATATCACGAGACACGACCGAAGCGGTCGAGGCACGATGACACGCTTTCGGTTAATTATGAAACCGAGACTAATCACCGAACAAGGTCGCACAAGGGAAAGAGGTAGAAATAGATCAAAGTGTCAATATGCTGTTTCATTTTCACAAATAGTTGGCAAACAAAATCACATTTTTTTTATGAAATTGGGAACAATAGTGCACCAGCAACAGTTTTAAAACTAAGGCTTAGACTCCCTTGGCCGGGATATGGTTGCACAAGTAGCAACATCTACAATATAACGAAATTTGCTCCTTTTTGTTATCAAAACTTGTCTTTCCACCCATTGATACTGTCGGGCTGAGATGACCTTTGTCGCGATATCGCCGCACCGCAATTACAATTTGAAATCTAGCTAGTTCAAATTGTCTCTATGCTGTTTATCATATGGTTGTGTATTTATATAAACTTGCCTGTCCATCTATTTGCAAGGGTCAGTTTGAATAAAATTTAAACATACATACCAGCAGACATATTTAGCACAGTTTAAGATAAAGAACGCACCGATGCATGTGGTGAATCGGTAAGAGACTGCGTGTAACACGCGTGTGACACGTGTGCTCAACGGGTTGCACACGGGCTAAAAACTCGTTGAACACGCGTGTGCAACGGGTGGTCAATTTGTTGAGCACGCAAGTGCAACGAGTGACCCATGCGTGTGAATCGGTAATACTCTACTGCCTAGAAGTACATACCCCTTACACGCGTTGAGAACGCGTGTCACACGCATGTGACACGGGTGCTCAACGGGTTGCACACGGGCTAAAAACTCGTTGAACACGCGTGTGCAACGGGTGGTCAACTCGTTGAGCACGCATGTGCAACGAGTGACCCATGCGCGTGCCATACGTGTAATTCGGGACCGGGTTTCAGTTGACAAATAGATGAGATAGTGAGATAAAACAAAACAATGAGATATGAATCTTGAGTTAATGAGTTGTGTTCACCAGACCATAAACACAAAGGTCAGCCGGCTTAATTCGTGTTCGGGTGCTCGACTTCAATGCATGGACCAGACCACAAGTGTTCAGTCTAGAAATGCTTCAGGGAGAAATGCTTTTTTGAGTAGTGTGGGTGGAGGCGGCGTGGTTGTATGGAGGTCTGGGTGGTTGTGTGTGTTGTTGGAATTGTGGGTTAGTTTGGGGAATATGGCTGGTGTGTGGGGTGGGGGGATAGGGTGTATTTGTATGTTGGGTCTGGTGGGGAAGGGTGAATGTCAGCTACAGTTATTCTCTGTATGGAGGTTGGTTGAGAAGTTAGGGGGATTTGTTTTTGATTTTTGTCTTTGCGGGGTAAATAAAAATGTTAAGATTTTTTTTTTGTTCTTCTTTTGGTTTTTGTTTGGTTTTTGTTTTGTTTGGGTTGTTTTTTTGGTTTTGGGTGTTGTTTTTTGTGTTTTTTCGGGGGGTTGTTTTGTTTGTGTTTTTGGGTGGTTGGGGGGGGGTTGGTTGTTTGGGGGGGGGGGGGGGGGGGGGGGTTGATGTTGTATTGTGGTATGATTGAATTGGGTTTTTTTTCAGGTGGACTTTATAATGTTGCGCCGAAGGTAATGTGTGTGGGTAATGATGTAGCTTTCGTTGTGAACGGTCTTTCTTTACTACTTACTACTTAGCTGTGTGATTGTGGTTTACTAATTTTGTGAGATGCCGCCCACCCCACCCCCACCCCACCCCCACCCCCACCCACCCACACATACACACACACACACTTAATCCCCCATTGTCTTTTCAATCACCAAGCTTGGGTCAATTTATATCTATAACAAAATGTTTTGGACAAGTTGGAAGACCCTGTTGCACGTATATTATTTTGTTTTCATTTTTACATTATGTATTGCAACAGAGTTATAGAAGGTTTTGGAAGTGGGATTCCTTTAGACAAGTACTAAATAACAACTGTTTTCACTCTATTTCCAATTTTATTGATTTCATTTTTTCCAGTTCTTCGAAACTGGAAATGTTACCCCGTGGGAACTATCATTACTAATTTGATGCTTTCTCCAATTTAGTATTTTCAAATATCCTCCACTAGGATATAGAAACAGAAAAAAACATTGCATTCTCCTTTAATCCCATACATTTGCATTCTCCTTTAATCCCATCCTCCATGGACCCGTGAAGATCCGGGGTAGAATAGGTATTCAGCAACCCATTCTTGCTATAAAAGGCGACTATGCTTGGCGTAAAAGGCGACTAACAGGATCAGGTGGTCAGGCTCGCTGACTTGGTTGATGCATGTCATTGATCCCAAGTCCATGGATCGATGCTCATGATGTCAATCCCTTGATTGTCTGGTCCTAACGCGATTATTTACATACCGCCGTCATATGGCTGGAATATTGCTGAGTGCGGCCTTTAAAAAACAAACAAACAAACAAAACCCATCCTCCATGCATGCACAATGTAAAACATATAAGTAGTGAGATCTGAATGTAATCCCTGCAATAAATTAATGTTCCTTCTTTCATATATTGATGGGTGTGGGTAACTGATGCACATGGTGAACGGGTTCATGTAACATTGTATATGGAGTTTAGGCCACATGTGTTTTTTACATATCAATAAATGCATGTATTATGTCAACTAATGTAGTTTATCCTATAAACAAATGAAATTTGTGATATTTGAAATATCAAAAGAAGTTTTTGATATCACAAATTGTGATAATTACATTCGCCAGAGTGTTTTGTCAATGGGTACCAGCATATTGGCAGATATATATAATTTTTGTAAGAATCCGCTACGCGGATTTATGCAGTTGGCACATTGGTTTTTCGATTCATACCACAATGAACCGAAAGAATACACAGTCAATGCTTATAATTAAATTCGTAAACATAAAACGTGTTTTATCTACAACAGTTTAACTAAAAACATTTGTATATATTAAAACAGACAAAAAAGACGAGATTGATAAACATTCCAGGTGTAGGAATACATACTGTGGCGTGACATGAATCAGGTGATCTTTTAATTTATGCACATATACACAGTCAGTAGCCAATCAACAGAGAGCAGGATCAAAACAATGTTCATTTGACCTATCAATTAAGACAAGAGGCGAAAAGAACTGCAACAGTCAGACTGTAACGAACCGGAAGAAATATGTCCGGGAGAAGGCGGCTGTTTCAAATTACATGGTCAGTTACCGCCAGATTCAAACATTACTTCCCTGATAAAGGTAAAACACAGTTCGAAAAATGCTATTTAGAAATGAAACCCCAAGACATGAAAGTTGAACCGAGGCAAGCAGAAAAAAAACAGGCGAGCGAGCCTGCACGTTTGCTGTTTGCTTCATTCTCCGCCTTCGGTTTCAAAGGTTTGTTTGGACAATGAATACGCATGAAAGTCGCTAAATGTCTTGTGCATGACGATACACGTGATCAGAAAGGGAATTCCCTCGACTGTAATATTAGGATTCCCCGACATTACAAATAATAAAAGTAGTGCGCCTCGGTGGGCGTGGCTTAATTTTTTACATGCATTGGGAAATGAATGCAATAACACGTGACCAACTCAGCTAATCAGAATACAGGAATATCAATGAACACAACGAAAATTTAATAATTCAACGTTTAATGATTTTTAGGGGATCCTCTTGAATAAAATAAATCAATAATTACCACATATATTGTTCCTGATGTTAAAATGTAGCCTTTGCCTCCATGCTCTTAGGCCCATTTTTTAATAGTTCGTGTCAACAGGAAGGATATCCTTTCATTTACATATATAGTTATTCGGATGATGTCTCCACATGTACATGTATGTAAGGGCAAATATCTTCTCTACATTTAATCAGTTTTCCTCGTGGCTTTTCTGGGCTTGTTGAACATAAGCTTAAGGGTTACAGAATGTATATTGTTATCATTGTATTTTAATGCGACTTAAATGCTATTATTTACCATCTTACGTACATATTTTACATTGAACGTTTTATATTTAAATGCCACCATAAATTTCTAATAATGCTTGTATATTCAACACATTTGAAAATATTTTAAAACACATTATTGTAAACTATTAGTGTACGTTGAAAAACATATACTGTAAAGGATCGAGTATGTGATATATTGACAGTAGCGCTTGGAGTTTATTCAACAGGCAGTGAAAACAGAACTACTTTATCCCCTTCAACTGATGCAGTCAATATAATTCGCTGTTCGCTGTTCATAATTCCGTCCCATGGGCATGCCAGAAAACTATGAGCGTGGGTTGGGGTTGAACCTGTTCGCCCCAATTATGTTTCTAGGTTTGCCAGAATCATACCCGTGCTCGTGGATCTCACAAGAGTGGTAAACGTATAAGGCCTGTATTATTTCGATCTTTCCCCCCACACCCAGCTGACACTTCATGATATAACTGCAATACTGTTCAAAGCAGCGTTAAACCCAACCCCCCACAAATATAACAATGAACAATGGGCTTCCACCTGGAAGGCAAACATATTGCACCGCCGTTTAACCATATGGATCAAACGGATATGTTATTACAAATATATTCTTGATTTGATCAAGCATTCATAGCCATTTCCA